TATTCCACTTAATAAAAAACTAAAAAAAAAAAAATGTTGGGCTTTAAAGCTGAACTCTGTGATCAGCAAATATTGTCCTTGTACAAGAGTCATGTGTATCCTTCCTGAATCTCGGTGAGCTTTGCGTATTTCTTCCAGATCTGTGCAGTCATCCAGCCTGAGACTTCCTGTAATAAAGACCGGTCACTGCTGCTCTCTCTTTTTGTGCGGGGTGACTGGTCTTGTCTCCGCCCCCTTCTGTATTTTTCTGCAGGCAGCCTGTAGTGGGTGTTGCCTGCTGGGCCCCTCCCACAGCTCTGTTTTCCGCATAGACAATGTACAGCACAGTAATGACGTCACTCCTACTTTACAGGGTAATATTTGGGTTTTCAAAGGTGCACACAAAGTAGAATGATATCCTTTGTGGAGAAACAGGAGAAAGGGCTGGCCGATGACACAGATGATCTCTCCACTGGCCGGCGGCTGCTCATCTTCTGCTTGCCACCCTGGACTAAAAGGACAGCTGCTGTGGGCCCCTGTAAATTATGGGGCCCAGGGCAGTTGCCCCATTTGCCCTGCGGTAAAGACGGCTCTGTTTTTATCTGTTTGTCTGGAGGTAAGCTTTAAAGACCTGAGGTGACTCTTGTACAAGTAATACTCTGCTAAGCAGATGACAGTCATCATATCACTAAAGGGCATACAAAGCTGATTTTGGGCTGATCTCCCCCCCTGATTCTCTCCTAGGTCTTCCTCTGAAATGCAACCAGTGTACTGGAAGACCATTTGATTGTGTAGAGTCTACTCAACTATGTACCCTCAACCAGACCAGCTGCATGTCACAGTCCTTCACCTACGTAGGTATGAAATATTTACTGACCTCTCATAACATTAAAGGAGTTGTAAAGTCCCAGCATGCACTGTCCTGTTATAACATCAGCATTGTAATAGGAATACATAATAGCATTGTTTCTGATAATGCAATCAAAGCTTACCTTCATGTAGTGGGTGCCGCCTTCCGTCTGCCCATCACTTTCACCAATGTCCTGGACTCTGATGGGAACAACCAATGTAAGGGGCAATCTGATGGGAACAACCAGTGTAAGGGGGCACTCTGATAGGACAACCAATGTAAAGGGGCACTCTAATGGGGACACCTGATGGAAGGGGAACTCTAATGGGGACACCTGATGGAAGGGGAACTCTAATGGGGACACCTGATGGAAGGGGCACTCTGATGGGAACAACCAATGTAAGGGGCACTCTGATGGGAACAATCAATGTAAGGGACACTCTGATAGGAACAACCAATGTAAAGGGGCACTCTAATGGGGACATCTGATGGAAGGGGCACTCTGATGGGGACAACCAATGTAAGGGGGCACTTTGATGGGGAGAATCAATTTTTCGTTGCATCCATCAGAGTGCCCCCTACATTTGTTGCCACCTATGAGATTTTTTTTATCAATTTACATATGTGTGTGCCTAGGCACACACAGTAGATGGGCAGCTGGTGGAGACTTTGCTGTCCTATGTGATCTTGCATTTGACAGGAAGTTCAGGGAACCCGAGCTGAGAGAGTCAGAGCTGTTCTGAAACATGATGACTGGGAGCGCTTGGGCAAAAATATAAATAAGTACTTTGCTGGACCATCTATACTTGTTTGATCTGTTATTATTATTGAAAATAAGTTTGAGAGATCAATACGACAATAACTAACAGTGCTTTGTCCTTCCAGAGAATGGGACCAGCACGGAATGGACATACAAGGGCTGTTCTCAGGGACTCAGGTGCAACGAGTCGGTGTACGTAGACATGGGATATAGGAAAACGTATATAAGTTCTCAGTGCTGCATCTCAGATATGTGTAACAGCGGCACGTACTACGGTAAGGAACAAAGTCTACCAGTCCAATTGGACAACAATACGCACAGCTAATAGAACCTCTTTTATCCCAGAGGCCATGGGGTTGATTTACTGAAGGCAAATAGGTTGTTCACCCTGCAGGGGGGATTTTCCCCTTAGCTTAGTGAATGACATTTGATGTCGTCCAATCATGTGCAAGCAAAAGTAATTTTTTTTTTTGCTTGCACCTGATTGGGTATTTTTTGCACAGTGAATTTTCTCCGCATTCACTAGGCTAAGGATTAATCCCCCCTGCAAAGTGAACAGCCGATTGGCCTTTAGTCAATCAGATAATTCATTGTGATGTATATGCATTTTCCAACACAAGCCAGCCAAGCTATTGGGTGATAAGGGCTTATACACACCAAAGCACGCCGGCAAACATTCCCAGGTCAATGCGGCCCTGGAAAGTCACATGACGGCTACAATGGACACCCAGGAACCTTTACTGTATGGTCAGCATGGGTAAGACAATAACTGGATGCTGAACTGCAGACAGATACAGAGATATGGAAGAAAAAAAATACATCTGGGAATTTAAAAAAA